AAGCGCGAGTCAATCATTGGACTCAAGCTGCCACGAGACAAGTTTAATTAAGGTGCCGTCGTGCCGGTAACGACTAGATAACGGCACGGCGGCACCTTAAACTTGTCTCGTGTCTAAGCTTACTTGCGGGATAGACACCAAGCGGCAGACATTTGGCCATTTTCTGATCTACTAGCCGCTAGTTCTATCCCCGTGTACAAGCACCTTATAAGACTCAGAGCTAGGAGCTGCTTGAGGAATTTTTGATAACTTATCACCAGTCCAGGCGGTTGGTTGTTTCCTATAACTTTATGAATGTAACAATCCTTGTAATTGAAAACAGCGCACAGTGTTAAATTCATCCTGTCAGTACCGATTTTTGGACTGTTTGCTGTTGAGTGCTGGAGTTTACCGCCACCAGAGAGAGAGTGATGCGGTACAGATGATTCATTTGAAGCTCTAAAGAAGAGATTTTCATGGCTATGGCAGCTGGTTTATAAATTGAGGGAATTCTGCGAAGATAAAGCACCTTCCCAAGACTTGAGGACGTTTTGTTATTGCAGATGCGTTGCGAGTGCACAAGGAAACAACAGAACTTCGCTCTTCAGCTTCGCGTTTCCGGTGGATAGTGTTGACATCTACTGTACACTGTAAAGTGTTGACTTGTCCTATACTGGCTATACACTGTACAGTGTTCAGTGTTGACATGTAAGCTGTGACGCGGTTAAGCTGTGGCAAGGCTGCCAGATGGTGGCAAGAGAAAACTGGCATATTAGCTCACAAAAAGGCCAAAAATGGCTCCTATCACATATTGATGAGTAGACTTATAACTTGAAGATGCAACAATTGACTATTAAGGGTTTCGTTAGGCTTCGAAAATAATATAATTTTAAGGTAAATATTTTATATTATTGTTTGAAAAAAGTAGATATCTAACTAGCGAAATTTTTGCGACTTACGGAATGGCGAGAAAGCTTAATTGGGGATTCTAGAGAAGATATTTTCCAGTATGTCGAAGATCATTTGGTTATGCCAATTGAAACAGACGAAAAAAGAACACAAAAATAATTTTATATGATATTTTGTTCCTAAAACCTGAAGACATTACAAAAAAGGCTATTAATAAATAAATTACGGTTGTATTCAGTGCATTTCAATAGGGCTAACAAAACCAGTCATGTAGAATGCACATTGTACAATCTGGTACACCAATCGAGCATAGATCGCGATTTGCGGCACTTGTCATACGGAAATGTGTTTTCACATCAACTTGCTAGAATCCTACAAAACTGGCCCGGAAAGTATACAATTTAAGTGCAGAAGCAAAATCTGAACATACTTGCTCCAAAAAAATCCAACTAAATCGAACTAAATACATTTTATTTGGCTATTTAAGGGGAGCGTCTGGGTAAAATTTTATCTCAGCTATTCACCGACGGATTAGTTTGAAACTTGGTACACATTTGTAAAACTAAAAGAAAAAATTTTTTGTTCATGTGAATTTTGCGAAAGAAATGGAAGAAAACGGGAAATTCTTAGAAAAAGGTACATAAAGGGGGTACTTTAGAATTCTATCTCCTCCTAAGGTACGTCGCCCACGCTTTTTGAAATTTTAATTTTTCAGGGCGTGGGAGCATTTTTCGTAAAATTTTAAAAAATTTTTGATTTCACCCCCGCCCCCCCCCATTTTTTAGCATTATAAAATCCAAACTATAACGAAATTAGAAAAATGTATGCGACGTTTTGTAGATCTTTTATATGCAAATTGAATGATATATATTTCATTTTTGTAGCTTCAAAACTCTAGGAGGAGATCGGTTTGCAGTGACAATAAGTTAACTTTTCAGTAGGGCCCGACAAAGTCGCGCGCGCCTCGAAAAAGACATTCAAGGGTGCAAGGTTGCAAGATTAGACGATATTGGAGCTCAATTTCTGTCAAGGATGGTGCGAACGACGGCACGAGAACCATCCCATATGACTGCAGGTGGATGAATGAAGCACAGCGTGTTCAGACTAGCTATTTAAGTGTGCTACCGGTAATTTTGGCCTATCTATAAATGTTAAAGAACTGCACCACCCCTAACCCTTTCGGGATCTTTCGTGAACGCATAAATCACGTACAGAGATGGTTTTGGTACCGTTAGATGCGTCAGAATGTAAGCTTTAAGATGAGTATAAAAAACGAAAAAGTCAAAATTTTATATTATGACCCAAACGCTCCCCCTTAAAATTGAAAAGAGGTTCAAATAGAAGAATTAGACCAGAAAATGGTTCGTCTGACAAACCTGGTAATGAACGAGATACATGGACTTTGCATCAGCCTCACCGACCTATGCACCAGCTATACTCACTTATTCACCCTCTATCGAATTTGGCACCATATATACTGACTTGTGAACCCATGAACTTGACTTATACACCATTTGCAGCAATTTATGCAACAGACACACTGTTTAATCACGGATCAGCTACATAAACTTGTGCATCAGTGAACCTAACTTCGCACTATCAATACTAATTTATGCAGCAGCTAAGGTGCTATATAGCCTTATGCACTAGCCGAAGATGCGTGGAAAATTAAGAAAAAAATTATTGCACCTTATGACAATAATTTACAGTTTAATTCAAGATTATTTCATCCCATATATGAAATTACATATATTTGGAGGAATTATCTGTTTGGATTTAAACAAGCTCATCAGTACATCAGTATTCACACTAGTTAAGTTATTCACACATCAGCAGTGGTCATGTCCGAGCACATACAAGCATGTCGGTTTCTTGTTCAACTTGCGCACGAACTACTTCTGTGATTATATCTGCATGGTTATGCAAAAGTATCTTACGTTTCGAAATCAGTTATTTCACTCTATTTCGAATTTGCGTGATTTTTTGGTTCGATTTGTTTTATATCATCCAAATCTGGTAACAGAATGGATTAAATTCGTTTGTAGGAGTACGATTGCGAATTGCTGTTTTGACTTATTTGAAGAGTAATACAACAAATAAATTGACAGAAGAAGCTGACACACAGAAGACATTAATTAATATTGACACGAGAGCTGCTATGAAAGTTCATAACAGCAACGAACAACATCCGCAGTCACCGGAAACAAAACAACATAAGCGGCGTTGCACTCGACCAGAATGTTGTACATTAAAGAAAACTTTGCTGTAAGGTAAATTAAAGATCTAGTATCGTTAATACATAGATGAATAATCTGAATAATCAAGCTAAAGCAAGGCCGTTATCCAGACGATACCTACGCCTTCAAATTATTAAACGGATGTGTGCATTTTATCATACCCGAGCATAAGCTGAAAGTGTATACAACAGTTTTGTAATTTTTAATTAATGTGACGGGATGAACATCAGATTTTAATTCTATTATAAGTAATGATCTCAGCGGGAAAATTTGTTTATGTGATAACGCGCAGTTATATAGTGTCAATTATTTATGTAAGTTCTGTAATTCATGATGTTATATAATAACAAATTTTAGTCCCAACAGAAGCCAGTTTGCAAGGGTGATCGGACTTAGAAATTGTAATCGTTCGATGGCGACCATTTTGCGAGTAGTTCCTGGTTCGATGTTCTTTATTTTGGGTAAATTGCACAAAAGCCATTTAGGTGTTGGCTAAGGGAATTTCGAAATGTTAATTCATTTGAAAAAGGTTTTTATTCAACGTTAATTGAAGTCTTCGATCCGTTCACCGTTCAGTTTCCAATCGCAGTCAAAATATCAAACTCACACCTTTGATTTTATTTGTCATTCGCTGCTTAATTTCAATGTCCAATGTTATATACCGGTTTCCCCATCCATTTCTGCCACGCAATTGGTCCACAAGAAAAAATTTATGTCATTCGACACTATCATGGAGTCTCTGTGTTTGAAATTATAGAGCCAGCTGACGCTTACAAGACTTCAGGAGTATTCCTACGTACGTCATTCTACCGCGACTGGTTTGGAGCAGATCTCTGACAGATTCACCGTATCCGCTCTACCGCGACGCATTTCGTTTCCCGTAAGGTTGTTATCGTTCGTTTTCGAGGCACCTGTTTCGAAACCCTGCAAACTCCCTTCGAATTTTCCTGTTTGTGATACGTTCCTGCAAGGGCCATTTCCGCTTATTTTCCGGCCTTTACCTTGAATTTGATTTACTAACATGGTATTGTTGAAACATTTCAGATATATTTTAGGTAGGTAAAACTAGCAAACCAACGCTATTTTGTTTCCAATTTAGCCTTCGATACACCACAATTCAGTATACTTATACATACGGGAACTGCATATCTGGGTAAAATGGGTATAAGTCAAAATCTGGTTATGATTAAAATAGGTAGATTTTGCATTGAAAAAAAAATGCTCGAACAAAATTAAATCTGTTTGGCTCACGGGATTTATATCACTGACCATACAATAATCTCGAAGCCATGACAAAAGCCGGTACGCTGACCAATTTTTCGCGTTTTTTATCTTAAAAATGAACTCAAACACGAATTTTTTTAAATGTTCAAGTAATACTTTTAAAGTTATATAATATATGCATATAAGTACTTTATGTATTTTATTAATCATTCATAACGCCTTTGACAAAAGTGATATTTTAAATTTTCAAGATCCTTACAAAGATTTTTCAATGAATTTCCTTTTCGTAAAATTCTCCTGTCCCGAGTTCCAAAGCAAGTATTATCAATACCAGGCAAAACTAATTTATTTTTGTTTGTTTAAAACGTCATTGAGCTTTCCTAACTGTCTCAATTATTGTCATTTGGCTTATCTGTCGCTTGAGCAATCTCGCGTGCATGCCTTACGTACCCTTCAGGTGAGATGTAAACAAACGTCTACTGCGACGGCAAGAATCACCCGGGAAATTACGTTGTCTTCCCTTAAGAAATGACGACACAGAGTTCGGTCTAAAGATTAAGAGCTTGACGGAAAACTTCCCACCGGATGAAGAAATTCTGCCCCGAGCTTGTTCTGTTGACATGCGTATCAACTCACCGCGCCTACTAAAGCAGGCTGGCGACACGATCGCAGACCAGTCGTAAGTGACATCGTTGCTTGAAAGGTAAGCGACTTGCTCCATAACAGCTTTCAAATTAATATATTGGTCTTGAATTCTTGTGTTTGTCTTATTATTTCAATATTTGGATATGATTAGTTCTCGGCAGTTCGAATATTGAGAGCTGGTGTTCAGTGTTGTTTTCGTATAACAATTTGGTTTCAATTATTTCTTTCGACATGTGTGTCCTCATTATTGTCAAAGCTCATGAGATAAATCAAAATATTGTGTTTATGTTGAAAATTTTGTATACGTTCAAAAGTTTGACTTAAAACATTATAAATATAAACATTTAAGGCATACGCTTATATGCTCGAGCCAAGCCAGTTATTCTTCGGAAAAATTACTGTAGTAAATTGATACATTTTTTCAAATCACGTTTGCTGATGAATGTGACTGAATTGTAGTTATTTAATTATCACTCACTATAACTTCACGAGAAAACTGTTAAAAAAACTTGAACTTACGTTTAGATCATTGGATTCGGTGTCCCAAAAGGCATAATGTACGACATGGGGAGTTATGGCGATAATTTCCATTAAATTTGCAGAATATCACACATTAAATATTGTTTACACAAGCGATTTATTGAGAATATTGGGATCTTCAACAATTCTAATTATGAATAAATAAATTTAACGATTACGGTTTCATCTTGCTCCGACTATATCTCAGCCGCTATCACGCATTCATCTATAACTTTTTGCAAGTGCAATTGAATGCCGATGAATCCGGGCGAATAATTTTTTCCTTGTAGAACTTGTAGGAAATTTTTTTCTTTTTTTTATTATATTTTTTATTACTCTATAAACAAAGTGTAGCCAGTAACAATGTCGCTGGTAACTAATTAGATTGCTTGCGATCCATGCATAAATAGACAGTCGCTCGTGGCAAGCAATCGCGTAATTAACTTATCAAAAAGATGCAAGTAACGTTCTAACGACGGGTGATTTTTAAGCTACCAGATGTACAAGCACGTGTTAAATGTGGCATTCAAATTTAAACATATATTTATGGAAAATAAAGTCTCGGAAGTCCATATAGTTCGTATAGAATTTCCCTCTCGGCTCGTTTAGTGACAAACGCGAAAAAAACTGACCTTAGAAGTCGTGCTCCACAGTCTCGACGCGGTGCCACGTACATATATCACACGCTGTCACACGGCGATTGTTTCGGCCCGGGGTAATTCTCGCCATGCATTCGCACGGTGATTGTTTTCAGCCTTCGTTTTTTATTCGCGTCACTCGCAGGGCGCTTGCATGACTTGTCGTTCCCATTCTTTTTAATGAATTAGCTTAAAAAGGAACGACTAACATGATTTGAAATAACATAATTAGCGCTGTCTGAAATATGACGCCCGAGAGCTTGGCTGAAGAAACAGCGCTGTAGGCAAGGGTGGCTGGATCATTGAGCGTTGCGGTTGAGATGCTGGATTGCTGAAACATTTCTACGTTTACATAGTCACGTTGTTTCCAATCACAACCTTGTGGCTTTATTTGCAGCGTTGTCAGGAATTATTTAAAAATTTACTGCAGCCTGATTAGTTTTACATGTTTAGAATAATTATATTTAACATTATAAGCTAAATAACTTGCTGATCAGCATGAATAACAATAAATTAATTAGTAATTATTGTTATTTTCTATTAATTCTATAACCACAAACAATATTTTTAATAAAACTCTCTACTAGAACAATGTCCGCGTTTGCTGAGTGTTTGGGTGTATTGTATTTGGATCGGCGTGGACTATATGTGGTCATAGTTCGAATGAAAAAAAGTCTTCATATTGACGGCAATTACATTTAATGCATTTGGATTAGTTTTGGTAAGGGTGGCTAAATATTTTAGAAAAATCATCCTAGGTTAGAACGTTCGCCTCGCTGCTAACACTGCGTGTTTAAATAGAAGCTTGGCCTTTAATAAATTCATACATAATTGAAAAAGGGGATCTATGATCTATTTGAAGATTAGCCTTACATTTTCCTCATTTATTCATTTCTGATTTCTCGTCTCTTTACACAGGTTTTTCAGAATACTCTTTCTACTACACGTAAAATAGCTGAAATGCCTGGATTTTCGCCAGTCATGTTGGACGATTCCGTGGAGGAGAAATGCGTTCTCGGAAGCAAGGACTCGACGGGTTCCAAGAACGAGGAGTCCTCAGCTCTGGGAAACGGACTCCATTCGAATAAGGCTGAAAAGTTTTCTTACCCTGATGGAGAGCTCATCCAAAAAGTATTCGAAATTGCCTTGAGGGAAAAACTTTACGGAAAGGTTGATGAAAAAGAGAAGGTGATCGACTTTAAACATCCCGCTGAGCTGAATGTGAGTATACCTTTTCATTTCAAAGGTTTTAAGTTCGGTTAGCTAACTAAAAGATTAATAACTATTGGGAACATAAATTCTTGTGGCGCACAGCAGTCTTTAGCCCTTTACTATTATCGGTAAATATAAAGCAAAATAGCTGGAGCAAAAATATGGAGTTACTATCATTCACGGTTGGCTTGATTCATTGACGTGAGTAATGATCCTCCTTATAATTGTGTGCGATCCTTGGTGATGAACTGCAGTGTACCTTTCACTTACAAAGGTTTTTAATATGCATATAGAAATGAAAAGTCTAATGACCATCCGTAACTTTGCTGATGCTCAGGATTTTAGTTTATATTGTTCGCATATCTTCGCTCGCGGGTGGTGAGATAACTTTAGCACACAAACTTTACTCTGACTTGATGTGCGTGATGTTAGTCTTAGGCAAAAGTTGATGAAGCTCTGAATAATAAATAGTCCATTTGAGTGATAATAAAGTAGTTCACGTAATAAATGTTATGATGAAGATTGGCATTACTTTTTCAGAAAATTTTCGACTTGGACATGAGTCGTGAAGGATGTCAGTCTCGCGCGGAGGTGGATGAAGTTCTTGAGCGCGTGGTGCGCCACAGCGTCCGCACGCAGCATCCGCATTTTTACAACCAACTTTTTGGCGGAATTGACGAAGTTGGGCTGGCGGGAGCCTGGATTCTTGAGGCCATCAACACAAACGCGTGAGTTGAAATATCTATAAGAATGATTGTTTTTAATGTCGTAATTCACTTGGCTTAGGGTCACTATTGAGAAATGTTACGTCGCATTTCTCTGAACTCGAGCTCGGTCCCTAAGTACGCTAATTTTATGCGTAAAAACTTAAGTATTTTAATAGACAAACTTACATATTTCAATATTTCAAACGGTAAGAGGCGGAATATCGGGAGCTAAAAGGGGACGCGTCCTAGAGTCCTAGAGAGTGGGAAATAAATTTTCATTGCTAGAGGATGGGTCTTCCCACCAAATACAGTCTCGGTCGTGCTTTGAACGATGCATTGATCGTTTGCAATCATGGCAAACTTTTGGTCACGAATGACAGAATTCCGTTTTTCCTGAACGCTCTTAAAATTTTTATCCAGTCGGCTTTTCCTGATTTATACATTGGTGTGGTAATCTGTAATGAAAAAATTCAACTATAATTGTGAAATATTTTAAATTTATCAATTCCGTAATAAATTTTTTAATCCACCTTGTATTCTAAATTCAGTTCAAGGCTTTTCAGTTCAAGGCTTTGGGTGAAATTATTGAGTGGAGTAAACAGTAAAAAAATTAAGATTTTAGAGTATTTTTTTATTAATTCATGCTTCATGATTAATAATATTTAAGTATGCAATTACTGAATTACACATGGCGTCGTAGGTACACCTTCGAGGCGGGCCCAGCTCTGGTGATCACAGAGCGATGGGTCCTCACCCAGATGATGAAACTCTTCGGCTGGGCCGAGGGAGGCGAAGGAATCTTCTGCCCTGGTCAGTGCAAACATGCTTAATTTTGCAGATTAAAAATTGGCAGGTGTAAATTGATATTCAGCTGGCAGCATCGCTAACATGTACAGCTTTGTGCTCGCTCGCTTTCATTATATATATAGTCCTCACACTGTATATATCATTCATTATCATGTCATTTATGATGTTCAGGTGGCAGCATCGCTAACATGTACAGCATGGTGCTCGCTCGTCATCACTTCAGCCCAGACTTCAAGAGGACAGGCCTCGCCGCGTCTGACGCACCCCTCGTCCTCTTCACGTCTGAACAAGTAAGAAACTTACCTAATTATAGACAATTCAACATAGCTTTTTTACGAAGACAAGCTGCAGATCATATGTTTATAATCAATGACTTCATGGTTTCTTCCATATTTGTAATAAAATTCTTCTTCTGCCAAAAAATTTTCAACATTTTTCATCAGGAAATTTGTTTTAAGATGAATTGTCATGGTCATCTTTCGATTATATTAAAATATTTCAAATATGTTCCCGATGTAATTCATTTCTTCTCTTTTCAGTGCCATTATTCGATTTCGAAGTCGGCATTCTGGCTGGGCTTCGGCCTGGACAACGTGGTTGCGGTGGCCACCGACGATCATGGCATCATGCACGGAGCCGCGTTGCGTGACGCCGTCAGGAAGGCGCGTGAGGAAGGCAAGAAGCCCTTCTACGTCAACTCTACGGCTGGCACCACCGTCTTCGGCGCCTACGACAACTTCAACGAAATCGCCGACGTCTGCAAAGAAGAAGGACTCTGGATGCATGTTGATGTGAGCTCTTACTTATTTAATTCGTTAATTACTGACGAATAATTCATTCTATGATGAAAAAATTGAAGTAGAGACACCGTCCTTTAATGACTAGCGCCTTTTCCCCGACAATTGAATTAAAATTGAAAAAATGGCTGATTGCTACATGGAGGATAGAAACACATGAAACCCATATTATTTATAATTGACAATATCAATAAGTCACGCATATTTTTGCCATTGCCATACATTTATAACAATGGGTGACGATAACTGTTTGCTGCAGGCGTCGTGGGGCGGGGCTGCGGTGCTCTCCTCCACACACAAGAAACTTCTCGCTGGGTCAGAGAGGTCAGTAATATAAGCTCCTAAATCTCTAAACTGCATTCCTTATGCAATTATTATTTTATTATTATTATCATAATCTTGATGCAATTATGACGCATTTTGGCTTGATTTATTTTTAAATGCACTACGTTCTATTTGTATAAGAGTACCAAATTCTACTAAGCTTCAGTTTCTTCCGATATTTGCTACATTTCTTCGAATCTTATCTTATCTATCAACGACTAAAGCAATTTGTGTTGATAAAATTGTATGGAATAATTAAACCCTGTCCTAAAATTCTCCCTTTCAATTAATGAAAATTCGCTGTCCTAATTCAGAGGAAAGTCAACGCTCTTCACAAGCAAGCACAAATAAAAACCATGTTTCCATCTTGCAATTTAATAAAACTGAAAAATTAAATTAATCACTTTACAGAGGAAAATGGGATGTTCATCCTGTAATTTATTGAAATTAAAATTTTCAAACAGTTATTTGGCAGCCGGCATCGTAAAATATATCATAAATTCCGTTGAATTTTAGCAAATTAGTAATAAGATTATTTGTTTTCATCAACAGAGCTGACTCGTTGTGCTGGAATCCCCACAAAATGCTGTGTGTGCCTCTTCAATGTTCAATGTTCATTACGAAGCACAAGGTGAGGCATCCTTCGTATCCTGAGACACGCTCACAACGCTAGGACTAAGTCATATTCTCTTAATGCTTTAACATATGTTTTCTTTCACTCGTCAGTTGGTGTTTCTGTATGCATAGGCTTTACAAATTATATTTTCACTTCAATTGTATTGATTAAAATTACTGCAATCTTGGTATAATTAGACAACGGAAGCTCAGACATTTATATTTTTCAATCTATTAAAACAATCAAAAGATATTAGATGAAGTCCTTAATTAATAAATGTTTAAATAAACAACATTTTGGGAGGGACTGTATCATGTCTTAGGACACTTGTAATTTACGTTTCTTTGAATTCATCAAACAACTCGATGTGAAATATTTACTTTTTCCTATTTCGCATTAGCTGCAATTCACCAAAATAATTTTTTAATGAACGTTTCTATTCTTTTCGAAGTTAAAGATGAATTTCTCTCGCTGTAGGGTCTGCTTCACGACGCGAATTGCGCAGGGGCGACGTACCTGTTCCAACAAGACAAATTCTACGACGTGTCTTACGACACGGGCGACATGAGCGTGCAGTGTGGTCGTAAAGGAGATGCACTTAAAGTTTGGCTCATGTTCAAAATCCACGGGATGGATGTTCTTGAAAACCGCATCGACGCTGCGTTTGCTGCTTCCAAGTAAGCAAAATATTTCTTCATTTTCCATCATAGGCCGATGGATGAAAAAAACTTTTAACTGATAGGTGAAAACTTTGCCATTGAAAAACCGATGTGTCTAAACTGGCAAAGCAAAAATTCTAGATATTGGTAGATTTAATTGTTTATTTTCGTCGTTATTTAATCAATTTTATATAACAGGTACCTGGAGAGTGAGGTGAAGCGACGCGAGGGCTTCGAGCTGGTGAGGGAAGGATTGCAGTGCACCAACGTTTGTTTCTGGTACATCCCTCCTGCACTGCGCGGCCAAACCCGCACTCCGCAGTGGTGGCAGATGCTACACAAGGTGTGTAACGATATCTTTGTTGTTATTTATTTATTTCTGTTCTTAGATACTATTTTTACTTACTTTCATATTTATTTTATATTAAGGCTTTGACGAATTTTGTTTTCCGATTCAAGTTGTTCACATCACATAACTATATTTGCTTTTTCAGACTCCTCTTATTGTTTCATTTATGGCGCTCGTTCTGAATTCAATTGGTGATAAATTATAAAATTGATTTTGCTACTTGGTACAAGTGCTGTGACGAGTTGCGTTCTGACTGTTGTCATATAGTTTAATTTTTAGATGTGCTGTGACTTCACAATGCCGCGTAAATTTTTATATTGTCTAACTATTCTCATATGATTATGGTCTCATGTTCCATTTTTACCTTATTCACTGGCTGCACAAGATACCTGTTCTGTTTCATCCGTAATTCCCTTATTGCAAATTAGGAAATTTGTATTCAATATTATCAGGTGGGGCCCTTGATAAAGGAGCAGCAGGTCATTGACGGCACTATCCTGGTGGGGTACCAGCCCATGACGTGCAAGAAGCTCGTCAACTTCTTCAGGATGGTCAACACGAGCCACCCGGTGCCCACCCAGGCACACATGGACTTCGTCTTGGATGAGATCGAGCGATGTGGAAAACACTTGCGACTTGAGCAGCTTCAATAGGATAAATTTTCGATTCCATACCGGAATAATATTTTTTTGTACGGAATTATCTACTAGGATAAATTTTCGACTCGCTACCGGAAAAATATCTCTTAGTGTGCAATAATGTACAACCCATATTTTTTTGGACTTAATGTTTGAAATTAACTATTACATTTATTGTCGACTCTTTTCGTATAATCAAATCTTATCAAATTTGAAAGATTCAAAACGGAGAAATGCTTCAGACAGTTACTTCAAATGGATGAGCTGTATAATAAATCAAGTAGACGTAGTTCACCAAGCTTTAATAGATAAGGCGTATTTATTCACTTGATGGCATATCTGATCAAATTAGTTTCACACGCCTTTAACAGGTCATACAGAATGAGATGGCTGCTGTGATTCCCTTTCCCCATTTTTTCAACCTTCAGGTAACGACGACGTTTTCTTTTTAATTGAAAAGTTCAAATTTCAGACGACAGGCTGTAGCTTCCGACAGTCACTGCACTCCTAACCTTATCATGTATTGTACATCAAAAGATCGAATCCCTGCGTTTAGTTCCAATAACGAACCAAATAACCGGTCATAATTTTTTGTCTCCAGTTATATTCATGGCAATAACATGCGCGTGATATTACTCATCATATCCAAACTCAACATTTGTGAAATTTGGTTGCCGAGCCAAGTTTATAGATGCAAAAATCAAATTTTTATTGGATATGAATGTATGTAAATATTTATTTATCAGCGTATTTCTATATACACGATCATCATGTTATTGGAAAAATATATCAAATGTGTTTTTAAGTAATATTATAAGTTTAATCGATGGGTGACTTAATCTGAGACAATCTTTTGTAACTTTTATAATAAATGTATGCATGCAAAAATTTGTGTTTTAGAATTAATTTTTATTTGGACCTCATGTCCTAAAAATTTCACACGCAAATGACGTAACACACACCGTGATAGACACGTACGTCTCATGGACGTGACCATCCCGTGCGACATCAGACTTAATTATAGATTTATTTTCAGTGTGATTCGTTCGAATGGATTAATGTGACAGAAATGAATGGTTTTATACCATTAATGCAGGATAATTTAAATTCGCTTGAATAAACTTGAAGTTTATTAAGAGCCATTTTGGCGAATAACTATGGTCATTTCGATTGATAAATCTTAATAATTTAGCAATGGTTGACTGAAGGATTAACTGTGCATGAAATTGGCTCGGTATAGGTAAAAAAATATAACCCAGTACTCACTGCAGTGAGTGACACAGCGCATTTTCTCGTCGACGAAAACTTGAGGTCACGAACAGACGGACAGACAGATAGACATACGGACGGACGGACATGGCGAGCACAATAGTGCATTTATTCCATAAATGAGAAAATGCGCTAAAAAGAAAGATATTTACGATTGTTTACATATTTCGAGAAATTATGGGAAATAAGACGGAGAAAACGAACCTGTCCATTTATGGTTATGGTCAATCCATTTATCTAACGTTTCGCTTCTAATTATTCAACTATGTTAATATTTAATTACTTTTCGTGCGGAGCGGATATGCGATATTTACGATTTGATGCAGAAATAAATTTTATTCTTGCGTCTGGCAAGTAATATAAATATAATTTACTGCAGACTTGGTTTGCCTATTCTGTAGAACGACGAATAGTTTACGCTCTGTGAGATCTTGCAGGACATCGTACAATTTTCTTTGCCTAGTAAAAATAGTAAAAATGCTCCTCAATGATATTGCATACTATTACTATGAACGAAATAAAGTATTGCCCAATTAATTGTAAACAATGGGCTATAATAAAACTCTGGGCTGAGTACAAACGATATCTATTGCGTGGCATATAATTATTTATGTCGCCCGGTAGGGAAGTTGTTTGGGGAAATAGACAAGATGCAACAAAATTTCACTTATTTCAGGCAGTATCAAACATCCATGCAAATGACACTAATTGTCTTTATGCAATACATGCCATTGAATTTTTGTTTTTCAATAGCATTATCATGCACTTGTTGACAGACAACATTTGTAGCAAAAAATATATAGGTCGCTATATATCCTTTATGTAGATACATCATTTTTAATACAGTTTCACGCGATAATATAAAAAAGTAATAGTAGTAATTTGGTGCATAATTGAACGAAAATAAAATGCTACCATCAACAGCACTAAACATTTATTCCTTAAATTTATGTATTCAAAAATCGAACCCCATAAATAAACTTTTTAAATAAATTTACACCATGAGAATTTTGTGCAATTTTTTATAAATTTTATATCAATTGTTTATCAATTATCAAATCACTTTCAAGTCCAAAATGTAAATTTACACCTCACCAAAGTTGAAACTTAAATTCTTGTCGACGTTTAAAAATATTTGCTATATGAGAGAAAATGCTTAACAAAGTTTATCACGGGAATATTTTCGTTGAAATACCAGGAAGAACAAATCTTTGTTTCTGTTATCGTTTTTTATAACGAATGTTGAGTGGAATAATAAAATGTATGTGTGTTGAATTTAGTTGACTTTTATCCCACTTTCTAATGCATCGTTGAGAGTTATATGTTTCTACTTTCTCAATCGCTACTTGTACATTTTTACTGAAAAATTTTTAACTACATACTCGCATGTTCAATTATAATTCACCGAACTCCACAATGCACGTTCGATTCAAGAGCTCGACCCACAAGTTGTATATCATCAAAAATTAGACTCAAGCAACCATTACTGCACCTCGTATTTTATTGGTAAAATCACATCCGCCATCCATCAATTTTACTCAAGCTCATCAATAAATTGAGCTCCTACGAGGGACCAAATTTTACAGTGTCATCCTTGCGACTTAATTACATGTCTTCGTGGTCTTATTTCCACCGTTTAAGATTCCAGGCTCTGAACCTCGATATCTTGTCCCCGGCGCTCTATCTCGTCCAGCACAAAGTTCATATGGGCCTGGGTCGGCACTGGGAAGCTCGTGTTGATCATACGGAAGAAATTGACGAGATTTTTGCCAGTCATGGGCTGGTAGCCTATCAGGAGCGTGCCTTCCAGGACCAAGCGCTCCTTGATTAGCGGCGCCACCTGCGTATATACGACAATTTTAGTACTGCATTGACATTAAAATACAAATATATCATTGTTTGAATAGCGAGCAATAAAAAATCTTCCCTGAAAAAATAATTTTTAAAATTCGAGCTAGTTAATGAAATTTTTAAAACTCAAAACTTACTCGTATAAATAAGTTCTGTAAAATAAGTAGCCTGAAGTCAGCCAGAACGGTAATGTCACTTCAAAATAAAATAAAAGTACGCGATATTATTGAATAAAACACAATTTTTTCAGAGGTGGGGGAACTCAAGCAAACAAAACAAGCTGGTTCTCATCGCACTTAAAAACCAAAAAACTCGGCTTGCGTCTGAGGTCAAGGCGACTGTAAAAGTACACGTATTTCGCTTCATGTATATTAATTTGTAATCAAATTCTATTTCTGAGTTAGCTCGTACCGTTACATATTCAACACAACACGACGTGTACGTTCAAAACCGTTGTGAATGTTGGCATAAACTGAATCGCAACCACAGCCTTCCAAGTATACGCATACTGCTCGAATGCAACTCGAAAAATTGGTGAGACGATAATAGATTCTTTTAGATTTTGAAACGACATTAAAACAAGAGTTCTATGTGAACTACTCTATTGTATGTGAAATTTTATTATTATTAACGGGATTTGGCATACCCGTATACTTGGATTGCAAGAATCATTAATATTACAAGTAATTTATCGCACCTTGTGTAGCATCTGCCACCACTGCGGAGTGCGGGTGTGGCCGCGCAGTGCAGGAGGGATGTACCAGAAACAAACGTTGGTGCACTGCAATCCTTCCCTCACCAGCTCGAAGCCCTCGCGCCGCTTCACCTCACTCTCCAGGTACCTGTGGTTAAAAATTTACAAAAATAAATTTAAAAAGCACTAAAGTTCTTATTTACTTTATAGGTAAGATTAAAAAAAAATAACATTAATGAACAGAGTCATATTCACCTCAGTGTAGCGCTTACATGTTTTCATAGGAATTATAGCACAAATTTTAGGCTCTGGATATAAAATTTTAAATGTGAAATTTGGGAAGGCTGATTGAATTTATTCATAACTATTTGGATTCAAATCATATTATTTAACATATGGACTTTTCTTACATTGTAAGAAAACAAAGTTTAGACACTGATAAACTTTGTTTTCACCGGTTTCAATCAAATTTTTGTGAATTTCATATTCAATCATTGATTGATTGATCATAATCACCCACTTTGATGCCTCAAAGGCAGCGTTGATACGAAGTTCAATTACGTCCATTCCGTGTATTTTGAACATAAGCCACAGCTTCAGCGCGTCGCCCTTACGACCACACTGAATGCTCTTGTCGCCCGTGTCGTAAGACACGTCGTAGAACTTGTCTTGCTGGAACAAGTACGTCGCTCCTACGCAGTTCGCTTCGTGCAGTAAACCCTATTTAGGGAAAAACAGTAGCAATTTAACGAATCAGTTCAACGCTCTTTCACTAACAGATTCTTGCTTGAACAGTCATCAGTTGATACAGAAAGTCAAATTCCCATGACTAAATTAATTCATCAAACAATTGAAAACTAATTTAAGCAGAATTTATGAAGTGTACATTAAATTACCTCTTGCATTGAGCTAGCAGTGCTTACTGTGAAAATTTTGTCCGTTAGCTCATGTACATGCTTTCCTCATGGTTTCATTCAAAGCCAAAAGATGATCAGTATTTATGCATGATTTATAACCGCAGTGAAGTCTACCTCGTTTATTTTGGAAAGACATACTAACATCTCTGTTTCATGCTTCGAGGAAGCAGAGATTTTCTGAGTTATCTTATTCAGAATACTATCTTGAGTTCGTCGCAAATATAATTAATACCAGATGAATACATAAACTACCCTATGAAACTGCTGATCTTTCGTTGGATGCTGCTCACCCTTCATAGGGAGCTGCTCACCCTTCATAGGGAGCTGCTCACTCTTCATAGGGAGCTGCTCAAACTTTGCAGGGAGCTGCTCACCCTTCGCAGGGAGCTGCTCACCCTTCGCAGGGAGCTGCTCACCCTTCGCAGGGAGCTGCTCACCCTTCATAGGGAGCTGCTCACCCTTCATAGGGAGCTGCTCAAACTTTGCAGGGAGCTGCTCACCCTTCGCAGGGACCTGCTCACCCTTCGTAAGGAGCTGCTCACCCTTCGCAGGGATCTACTCAAACTTTATAGGGGACTTATCACTCACCCTATTTAGGGAGCTGATTACTCACTCTATGTTTCGTTAAGAACATGGAGCATTGAAGAGGTGCACACAACATCTTATGAGGGTTCCAGGATATCGAGTCTGCCCTGCAGGGAATACGGCATCATTTAGTTATTATTATTAAAATATTCGCTCGTTATGAATTAGGATTTTCATTGTAAAGCCATTGATTAAAGTGCACAAACTAAGTCAGAACACCGCAGTTGGTAAACATTGAATTAGCTGACGGGAATTTTGTGGGGAGATTCGTGCTGAAAAAAAAAAACTTTCGTTACGTTTAGGTCATAATGAGATGGCAAATTTCCTAAACGGGAAAATTTCGACGAACACTTGATCGAAACTGTCTTAATTTCATAGCATTTTGCAGACAGTTAATTTTAAAAATTCTTGCATCCTGTTTATATAGTGGAGAAAATACATATATAATATATACATATAGTGGGGAAATATAGTGGAGAAAATACAGAGAAAAAGAGAGCTAAGAAAAACGTGGTAACACACAGAGGAGTCAGAGAATTGATTTCGTTCTTATACGTGGCATTGCATACGAAATGCGTTTTTCTTGTCTAAAAAATCGGTAATCAATTCACAATATATTCAGTGTAATCCATTTTGAAAAGGAATTGAAATTGCATTTTTGCGGAATATTTAGGTTGAAGCAGTCACATTAGGTTTTATTAATAAGAAATATCGAAAAGTAAATAAAAAATTCCAAATCCTCCAAGTTCCCTTCACTTCCTTAGCAACTTTCAAATTTTACGCGTTTCCAGAAAATGATACTCACAGTATTATTTAGTAATTAACACAGAACTAATCACATATAAATTCCTGAGAATATGGTCCATTGGAACTGCAAGAAGATAAGACAGCATCCTCGCACTGATAAGATCTAGGAAATTTCCACGCGCGTCACGTAGCGTCTCACCGGCCACTGCCGTCCATGAGCGACTTGTGTTTGGTAGATAAAACAACAGCTCCGCCCCAGCACGCCTGTAGACATAAATAATAGCGGTTTCAGCGTTTATTAGACCGTAGGCCTGTCGCCGATTCTTAACATCGCAGAATATTCACAGCATTTTGAGGTCTCGAACTCGCAACGCACTGCTACAATATTCTGCTATGCTTAACCGCCCGGCCTCCTCGCCGATTCTGACCAGAAACCGACGCACAGAGCTGGGATCGAACCCGCGCCTCTCTAGTGCGTCAATCTTGGTACTCTGAACTTTAACCACTGGGCCACCCTGCCCTTCTGGTGGCCCAGAACGCCAGAAGGGCATATATTGCAAAGTCAATATGCATAGAATTAGGTTGATATACAAGAGAGATATGTGGATAAAACGTGGGGGATAATTGTTGATGGCCATCACGAAAAATTGGGTAAAATACATGAAAAATTGAAGCAGTTTTGTTTTCAAATTTATTCTAAAATTAAATGAAGTCAAAGTTATCCAAAAATATTTCCTAGAGAAATATTCACAGGTCGCAGTCAGGCCAACAAAACTCTAAAGCTTGTCTTGTTAAAAAATGTCATTATTATTATCCATCAATGATTATTTACAGGGTCTGCCATATCTATGGCAACGGAGGTTTGCTACATAAAAATAAATTGATTTCTAGGAGACTTTTCTTTTATAATGAAGCTTAATATCATCTATTTTATATTGCAGAAGTTTAAGGTGTCTAAATTTACTATTACTTATGGCAGGAGACAGAAATGCAATTGTAACACTTCATGAAAAGGCGAGAGTACAGTAGAGCTCACATCAACATGCATCCAGAGTCCTTCTTCTTTGCAGACGTCGGCGATTTCGTTGAAGTTGTCGTAGGCGCCGAAGACGGTGGTGCCAGCCGTAGCGTTGACGTAGAAGGGCTTCTTGCCTTCCTCACGCGCCTTCCTGACGGCGTCTCGCAACGCGGCTCCGTGCATGATGCCCTTGAATAAAAAATTACGATTATTTATTTATTTAATTATTTATTGTTTAATTATATTATTAAATTAATTAATAGATTATTAATAGATTATTTTATCTATTATTTAATAGATTATTGAATTATAGTTGTAATTTGGATCAATACTTCAACAGTTAATAAGCGAGCGTCTACTTACGAGAATTCATGAATCAAAATTGCGATCGTCAAAAACTCAAAATCAAAATTTTAATTTTCTAGTACACCGTACTTGGTCGTCGCTGGCTACGGGGACCACGTTATCGAGGCCAAAGCCCAGCCAGAACGCGCCTTTGGAGATCGAGTAGTGGCTCTGAAAAACATACTCTCCGTAATTCGTTTGTACTCGTACTTATGCGTTCTGTAGGCTGCAGGGCATGAACTCAACCATCTAGCTTATCCTTAGTTATTGATGTAACAGAATACATATAGTGGTTGCATGTGCAAAAATATTTTATAAAGCAATTTTCCACCATGTCTATAATCGTTGCATTATTTTCTTATGGTAATTCTTTTTATTTACGAAGGTGGAAAAATGCGCACCTGGTCGGAGGTGAAGATCACCAACGGAGAATCATTTGCAGTCATGCCGGTTCTTTTGAACGCTGGGTTGAGTTTGTGCCGCGCCAGTACCATGCTGTACATGTTCGCTATGCTGCCGCCTGAGTCAAATGATAACATAAATGTTGATTAATTGAAAATGAACGGACAAAGTATAAAGAAACCAATATCTTTAAATACTTCACATATTTGTCCTGATTTTGCGTTACCAATTGAATATACATACGTACAAAATGCGTTGAATTGTGCAATAGTGGGACATGAGACCAAAAACCAGGACGGACAGACTCGCCTGGACAAAATATCCCGTCGCCGCCGTCCGTCCACCCGAAGAGTTTCACCATTTGTTCGATGACGCAGAACTCTGTGATGACGAGCGCAGGCCCCACCTCGTATGTGTGCCTGTCACGTACATGTTGAATTCATGAATTGTACCTCCGACATTTGGGTCTAACGAAGGATGAATCCAAAATAATCTTGAAGAGAGCATATAATGCTCTCATTTAATGCATATATGATTCAACTGAAATTTAAAAACCTCCAAGATGAGGCAACAAAAAGATTTGTTTTATTCACTTGAAGTATCCGTAGGGTAAACGTTATTAAAAAATATTAATTAACATGTGATCACTTTTTTGCTTGGAACATTAGCTAATGTATTACTACTGTTATAGCCTCCTGCCCTAATACAAATCTATTTCTGGAATTATATAATCTTAAAATAAGATTAATTCATGCAAAACAAACACTTGGTTATCAGTAAATGTACGATGGATACTCGCTGATTAGAGATTAGGGCCCTATGAGTTCGAGTAGAGATTTATCCAGATTGCCTCATGTATGATGATTACTCATTTATTAGTGATTAGGGCCCAATGAGTTCGAGTAGAGATTTATCCAGATTGCCTCATGTATGATGATTACTCATTTATTAGTGATTAGGGCCTTATGAGTTCGAGTAGAGATTTATCCAGATTTTCTCATGGATGGTTACTCACTGATTGGTATTTAGCGCCTCTAGAATCCAGGCTCCCGCCAGCCCAACTTCATCAATTCCGCCGTAAAGTTGGTTGTAGAAATGCGGATGCTGCGTGCGGACGCTGTGGCGCACAACGCGCTCCAGAACTTCATCCACCTCCGCGCGAGACTGACATCCTTCACGACACATCGTCAGGTCCAAAAGTTTCTGTGGATGCGCCGATGATCATACATAGTAAAGTTTCAGCCGAATATGTCGATCGATTTTGTCATACTTAGGTATATTTTTTAAGAGACTTGTTCTTTTAACTTATAATTAATTTGAACCCCTTTCGATGCAACATAAATTTAAAAGTCTGTGTTGATCAGCTGTTCCAATTGGGAGAAGAGTATATTCAACACTTCATGCTGACTCAAATTGTTTATCCGAGTGTCGTGTTAACAGAAGACCAGATTTATGGTTTTTCTCAAAAGCTGGCCGTTTCGGTCTCACAGATACCCACAGCTTGTATATTTCTTATGGCACATGTTGAGAGCATTAGAATTCTCATATGAATTCAAGTTCTCATTTATAAATTAGCCTTTGAGCAAAGTTTGTAATGCAATTGCAGATTAAACTCATCGCAATGCTAGATATTATATTACTTACTCGTAATTCTTCTGGATGTTTGAAATCTACAACGCTCTTATCATCTTCAATCTTGCCATAGAGTTTTTCTTTTTTCACGATGTCGAGAACTTTTTGCAATAGTTCCCCGTCAGAATAGGGCACGGTGTCAGAGTTAACTCCGTTTTCTATCACAGGAACAGGTTTGACAGTTGTTGAATGCGATGACATTATACCAGGCGTCTTCTGAGGATTGCTCATCGACAAAGTGAATCTTGTCGTACCATGAATATGCCTGAACAATAAAAAATATCTCGAATTATCTTTCAATGAATATTAGCTCAGTATTCTTGATGGCATGAACTTAAATTAACTTGAGTGCGTGCTAGGATAGCTTAAATTGTTGCTTCATATCTCCACATGAGATCAAAGTCCATCCCTCCAGGAGTTCATTAAACTCCTCGACAAAGTAAAAAGTTAAAATATTATCAGCAATTACAGTTAAAATCAATGTGATTTTAGCTTGACATCAGATGCAGCAAGGGACTCAATGAAGGTAAATGATTCATTACAATTCTCTATCAGTGCCACCTCGGAGTCATTACGGTAAATGGCTCTATGCCATATGTCGCCAGCGCCGCGAGTCGCCGCTCTCCAGTGTAAACGATATTTAGTTCAAACTAAATTTTAGAATAACTTCATAATGATTATTTGAAAATTTTCTTAAATATTCTTATGTTAATTCAACGACAAAAAAGTAATATCTAATCAGTTTTACTCTTTCTAATGTTGCGCAGCGACTTGAGTGCCGTGATGGCTTTACCGCACATGTGAGTCTGACATAAAAACGTGATACACAGAAAATGTAATAATAAATCTTTTGAATATAGACATATGTATAAAAAATCGGGAATGATAACAATGCTTGCCATACGATTATGTTAGACAATAAAGATACAGGTGCGAACATGCACCTGTTGTTGACGGCAGATGCCTCAAGCATGCGACGCGAGACGCGGCCAATCACGAGCATCCCTGCCAACTCACGACCAATGCACCACTGATGTTAATCATTTGATTCAGTTGCTAGGATCAAAGTGGTATGATTCTTGAGATAACATGACCAGGTTCTAGCGGTGATGGTAGTCAAGTATGTATGGTCGGAGGCTAAACTTTTTATGCCATCAATAAGTATGTTGGCGAAAACTTCAACTTTACTGTTGCTCAAAAATTATAGATTGAAGTCATTGTATTGTCGTATATTTATACCATTCAATGGATAAATGTTGATTGTGATATGTGATTGAATTTATATCCAGGCTCAGAAGAACAGCAGAAAACGTACAATAAAAATCTTCAGGTTTTCAGAAGGAAATAAGTGCTTTCTGCAGTCGACGCAACAGTACCCAGATGTTTGCTACCATAGTTTATCCCTCAGAACAAGAGTATATTATTTATTTATTTATTGAAAACCATTTTCCCGGATCGTTAATGTGACATAGAGGGACTCGACGGACAAAGGACTCGGGTCTTCTATTCGTCACTGTATCGACCTACCGGGCACTGACGATAGAGCTTGCAGGCTGAGTGATATTCTATCAAAATATTGTATCGTTATGATTTTTGAGCCATTCCTGAGGTTAAAAAAACTGAAAAGGCACCATCAAAACTGAATGGAAATATTATATAAATAATTTAATTAAATTAAAATAATTAAATAAAGTATTAATTATTTAATACTTACTTATAATATACTTATAATTAAATAAATATATAAATAATGGAAAATATTCCATTAGATTCGTAAATATAATAAATTCTTAGTTGCGACTGGATCGAAAACAACCGCAAATAATCCCACGTGTTTTTATCTACTGAAAGAATGATATGTTTCTTTTTTCTTGCAACATATAAGAGGTAAATAATTCATTTCATGTAAATCTAGAGGCATTATTTAGGAACAAGTTGAAATAAAAGGTCTTAAATTAGCATGTAGTGGAAAGGACCAAGCCATAGAGATAAAAATATGTTAAGATCGCTGTTTTCATGTAAATCTAGAGGCATTATTTAGGAACTAGTTGAAATAAAAGGTCTTAAAAATTATTTAATATAGTGGTCGAAATATTTCAGAAATACAACATAAACCCGAGTATCGGGCAGCAATTCGAAGTCGATGCCGATTCCAACTTGGCAAGTAGGGCTAGATCAATTAATTACCATAAGTCGCATTCCCAGAAATGATTAGTAGGAATCTTATACGCATCGGGCTGTAACGTACTCAATTGGAACAGGAAGTTATTCACCCTTACCAGTTCATCTTGCGCTAGGCACGAGCTTACCTTTCAGTGGGAGCTTGCGTATCGAACTGAGGATATATCCACTGGCGAAGCTCACGTACACTTCGTCCTCTGGCTTACACTTGAGTTGCAAATGAACAGAGTTTTACCTTATCTCTTACGGCACACGTGTTATTTTTTATCTTCCGCTTAAGGTAAAACACACGTTAATTGTGAAGTCTTCATAACTCAAGAAGCAAATAAAAAAATTAGACCAGTACTCACTGCAGTGAGTGACAGAGAACGCGTTTTCTCGTCGACGAAAACGTGAAGTCACGGACGGACGGACGGACGGACATGACGAGCGCAATAGCGCCTTTTTTCCTAACGAGAATATGCGCTAAAAATTTTCATGTGCTCTGAAATATTTGCAAAAAGTATCACCGCATCATGATGCCTTCGTAGCATGAAGTTGCTACGACAACATATGATTTTTTACAGCAAACGATGCTTTGGTAGCATCGCGATTTTTCGACGGCGTCAGGGAACATCATCATTCTTCGACAGCATCGCGAAAGTTCGAAAGCATCACGACGCTTCATCAACATTACAACTCTTTAAGAACATCACGATTTTTCGATTGTATTACGATGCTCAGATAACATCACCATGCTTCGATAGCATCACGATACTTTAATGACATCACTTTTCTTCGATAGCATGAAGATACCTCGACAACATCACGATCTTTCGATAGCATCAGGGTGCATCACGATACCAGCTCTATGAATGTGACAGTGCTTTTTACGGCCCGCAGGCATACATCCACATATTTTGCACGGTCGAGTTATGTCTGCTAATGAATGAGCTGACTTCATAGACCGTATTACATCGAATAGCAAGAGGTTCAAGAAGACATGAAGATCACCTTTATTATCTCAAGCAGTCACGTGATATTTAAAAACTTTCCCCGAGCCTGAGAGTGCAAAGGTCCTCAAATATGACTCAATATGATCTCCTGTAGTGAGTATCATGAAGTTGCTGAAATTTTAGGGGCGCATGTTTGTCCGACCATGCACGACATAGTTACTGACCTGCTGAAAGTATCTACATATATACAGTATTTCATTAACTTTGTTTATTTGAATCCTGAGATGAGTAAGCATAATTCGGCATTGACATTAATTGAGGCAGTAAAAATTTGTAGTAAAATTGAGATAGTAAAAAATCCAACACCGAGAACTACAGAAATTGTACTGAATTCGGATTTGCAGAGCCAATTGCATTGACTCGGTAAGCAATACCAGTCAAACCTGAGTTCACGATGGAAAAATGAGATTGAGCCGTTCGTTTTTTTATGTTGTATTTATTGATACATATATAATACATAGATCAATTGTACAGGATAATCTTAATTTCTAGCCTTTAACGTTGAATTGTCTTTGAACATGATAATTGCAGATCTTATTTGAAGCTCAACTGATGCAGGTAAAAAAGTCACGTAAGAATATATTATCAGCAGCCTTCATAAGCATTAATTATATTGCAAGTTTATTCAGCTGCTGATAACGCCCACCGACCACCGATAATAATGTACTTTGTTAAAAAGTTTTTCTTGTGCATGGTTGCCTCTCGAAAACATTTGCCTCGTGTGTCTCTGATAAGTAGAAAACATGAAGGGTGACAGTTTCACTCAAGTTTTACGACAATGATAGGTGAAGATAAAATAAAAAACACATGACGAATAACAGTTTTGCATTAGATTTATGACAGTACAAGGTAAAATTAAAATAATAGAACATGAAAGGCGACAGTTTTACTCAAGTTTTACGACAATGATTGGTGAAGTAAGTAACAAAACAAATGATGGACAACAGTTTTACGACTTTGATCAGAAAAGATAGCATAACAGCATGAAGGGCGACAGTTTTAATCAAGTTTCGCGACTATTAAAAGTAAAAAATCATGATTCACAAAAGTTTTGTTCTAATTTTGCTTCTATGATAAATAAGAAATATAGCGATGGGAAACAGTCTTAATCTGGTTTTGCAGCAATGAAAGTAAAAACATTGGTACACCCTAGTTTCAGGTGTATTAGCATTCTGATATGAAGAAGAGTATAAATGAATACGATTTACTAGTTCAAATGACGCACGAACCATGAAAGACAAAGTTTTGTATCACACTCAAATAAAGAATCATATTTTATAATACTTTCATCGAATAATGAAGCCTCCTCTTCACGGAAGAACTGAGATTGGGTGAGTTCCGACATTGAAAAAAATATTCACGAATACCAAATTAAAACAGGATACGGCGCCAGCTGTCGAATGTTTGATTAACAAATCAAAAAATGTAACGGCTGATAATTAAACTTAACTCGACTGAGTAATTGAACAATGAAAAAAAATTAGTATCTCGGGTGAAAAATTATGACAATGTGGTACCTACACACTACTCATGGTGCTCAATTTCATAAGAAACATTTGCTCATAAATAATGATGGAATAAGTGATAGCATAGCATTTTTGCCACCAAGTGTGAATTATGATACTAACTAAGGAAGGCAGGAAGTACTGATAATAATCCGAGAATCGTTTCACCCAATTGAAAGGGTGTTTGATATTTTTTTCATTTTCTGCAATAACTTAGAAAATTCGTTAAAAAATATACTTTTTTTTAAATTCAGGTAATATTTATTTATTTATTTTCTATTAACTAAATTTTCTGAAATGACAATTTCAGGGTCCATTAGACGCAAAATCACGCAATTTTTATTAATAAATTAACAATTAAAATGTAATTTCATTCATACAATGTAGTTCCTGTAGCTACTGAGGTAAAAGAGACTTATTTAACCATTTTTTTAAATGCATGAGGTCAAAATGACCTCATGAAAATGTGTGGTACAAATAAATGTGTACCACATTATTGTGAAAATGTGGTACACATGACCATTTGGTCATGCAGAGGTCAAAATGACCTCATCTGTTTCAGGGAGGTGCACGGAGGCCGTGCTTCTTGTGTTAAATCAACAAGGTAACCGCAGAGCTGTTATGCATACCCAATCACACTCTGGAAATAAAAGTTCTAGTGTGAAGTTGTATATTATACAGTGAATTAATGTAATATGCAAGTCACGCAACTGGTTGCGTTCACGTTATGCTGCTGTTTTTTCGCTCGCTGGTATTCAGCTGACGCAATTTGCTTCCGTAACTCCTAGCTTCCCGCTTCGTTCCAGCTTGCCACGAATTTCAGATTTGCGTCTCCTGGGCGGAGTTCGAGGATGCTTAGTTTTCATTTTGATTATCCTGCGAAAAAAAGGCGCAATTTCTTCGCTGGAATAGCTCGCGACTGAATTGGAACAGGCAGATTAATCTTCCAAATATCGCGTTTTTCCACTTGGATTGCTTGTAATAATCTGAATATTTCAGAATGCCCTAAAAAATACTTTACTATTCTCTTCGGAAGAAAACGTCAATTAGGTGAAATTTTTATGGAAACTGCAATAATTAATTATGCTGGGCAAAAGGATGACTAGATGAACGAGGGTTAAGAATAACTTGTTTGGTCATGCATATTGATAAATTACAGTACCATATATCAGTAATAAACATGACTATTAGTATTAAATTATTAAATTGTTAAGCAACAGTCATTCTGATTTTATACAGAATTGGAAGAAAAATGTTTCGAATGAGTGAAAAATAGTTTGGAATTTTCGAAAACAGCTATTCGCAACTGTAATATTGTATTGTTAGAACCTAATCA